TGCTTGGCTTTTCTCAGGGTAAGGACTTTTTACCCTGTGTGATGAGAGCTGATCCAGTGTAGTGTGGATGACAAAAATGAAGTTGTGCGGGTCTAAAGCACTGTGGTTTTAGTGTGTGTGTGTGTGTTTGAGCGTCCTTCCCTATGTCCCAGCCAAGTGTCTTTGCTCTTCAGTTGAAAGGCTTCCTCTGTGAATAAAGACCCCACACAAAACAAGACTGAACAATCCTGCGGATTGCACAAGGCAGAAACCCTTTGGGCACCAGTGCAGTTCTTGAAGGAGCTGATTTCCAGGGGAAATAAAGCAGTATCTCATTGCCTGCTGAGCTCTTCCTGCCCAGTCCCTCTGCCTGTGCTCCAGCAGGAGGGGGCTGAGCCCCCAGCCCAGGTCTGCTCGAGTGCTTTGCCCTGTGAGCCCTGCAGGTCCAGCACTGCAAGCTGCCAGGGCAGACGAAGTCACAGCAGGACAAAGAGAGCTGAGCCAGAGCAGATTATATCTGCAACCATACCTAAATGGGCTAGACTCTGTACAGGCACCTTTGTGTGAGATTCAAAAATCACCCTCATCAGTAAGGCAATGTCAATTCAGCTGTTGCATCCTTAGCCTACTAGGGTTATGTCCTCCAAAAATGTCTAAGAACGTTGTGAAGGTTCAAGTCTGCATCCATACCTGTAGGCTTTTCTTTGAAGGATTAGTTGTGGGGATTTCCTTAGAGAAGGATCTTCTCCAGAAACCTTGTCTTGTACAATGATTTCTTGATCTGGAGAAGTTTCATTATGAATCCCTCTTTTTTACTAAGAAAATGTGATGAATGTGATGCTAAGACATCATTCGTTCAGTATGGCTTCTCATCTCACATATTTTCTTTTTCCAGTCTGTTGATTGAAGATATTTTGTAGCCTTAACTTTTAGATTAAAGTAGTGGTTAAAACAATTGAAATTAAAATATATTGGCTATTTTTATAGTCTGTAGGGATAATAAAATCCGTTTAGCCTTTCATAAAACCACATACAGAGAATAACAATTTTAAGAAGTCTATTAATTAACAACTATTTCTGTGACTGTACTTAATACCCACAACTACAATATATACTACTGTATATCCAAGCATATAATACCTGGATGAACTCCAGAGAATATATAGGAAAAACACATAGAGCCAGTATACGATGGAGAATCCTTTTAAAAGGTCAATGGCATGGAACTAAACCTGTTAAAGGAGGTTTTACTATACTCCTTATGTGTGCTTTGAAGAAGTTTCCATTATATTCAATTACTATTGATTCATTAGGTACATGAACTGTACAGCTCTAATTAAAAACCTTTTTCTTTCCCTCTTTAAAATCAGTGGGGAACCTTAAATATATTTACTCTGACCATTAAAAAAAAAAAAAAAAGTGATAAAAACATTAATTAGAAAAATGATAACCCAAATTTCCTGGCCTTCTTTGCTGTGATAAGTAACCATGGTCCCCCTGGCTTTCTGAGATGATGCACTTCCCAAGGCTCTTAGATTGCTTGTCTTCAGCATGAGCACACCTTGGCATGCCCCACAGGCCGGCCTGCTTGCTCACACACTCTGTCCCTTCCTTCTCTGGCAGGACAAGGTGCCAGTGCTGGGAATCCCAGACAGAAGAGAGGAAAGCAGGAAAGGAAGAATTGCTTTATTTGACTACCCAAGCTTCTGACACATGGAGCCTTTCTCAGGGCAGGGGAAGGGCTGGCAAAACACAGTCCTGGGAATGGGTTTGGCAAGGGGGATTCTGCTCCCAGGGTGCATTCCAAAAGCTAGGGGATAACTGCTGGATTTTGCTGAACTTTCATCATTCTGTGGATGAAGTCCAGCCTTTACTGGTGACCCAGTGGCCAGACTGTGCAAACCCCAAGAGCCTTTCCTTGTATAAGGTTCTTTATCCTCTGGCCTTGTCCCAGAGCATTTTAGTATTTAGATAGTCCTCCAGATGTTACAGTATCAGTAAAAGGCTTTGCCAGCTGGCCTGAAACAAAAATACTCCAAAACTACCCTGAGAGAGTGAAATGTGCCTCTCTCTAGGTCGCTTGATACTTCATGCTTAAAAGCCTATCACCTCTGCTACTTAGGTTTTGATAGCCACTCACAGAAATAATAAATAGTCAGAAGTACTTAAAATACCTCTAATTATACCTTCTGATTGCCTGGCAATTAATAACTAATCTGACACAGGACAAGTCACCTCATGCTTCCAATGCCTCCCCATGTATTAGTGAGTGGCTAGACTTCCTGAGGACAAAATACATCCTAAACATTGCCAGTGCTTGCCAAAACAATCATACACCCAGGCCTTTATTTCTAATATTATGCAGTTACCAGGTGGGTTTGGGCCCCACTTGTGGTAATTCACCAGGCCAGACTGAAACCATAGGGCTGCACCGTTTTAACACAGACTTCTACAACCCCCCTGCTGTTGCACTTTTTGCAGAGATGGAGGCAGATTCAGGCTGGAGCAGGGCAGGCACAGCGCATATGCCCCATCCAACCCAGTGAGACTGGCAGCTGGCAAAACATCAGGCCCTGCCCCAGTTATGCTCCAACAGGGCCAGGCTCCATGTCCCACAGCCTTACCCAGCTATAGAAAGATTTTTAAAAGAACTGGTGGTATTCAATAGCAACAGGAATTTTGTTTAATTACTCAAGATATTTTTATGGAACAGATTTCTTCTCTGATCTTCTTTAATCAACTTAAAAAGTCTTGCAGCGTGTACATGTGTATACAAATTACTGTGATCAGTTGATTTTCCCTAAGGATTTCCTAGACTCAGTTGATTTCAGATAACCATTTCCAAAAGAGATCTTCTGCTCTGCTTAATCTTTTTGAAATTTCCCCCTCCTGTGTGATGGAAAAAAGACCACAAATAAGGACAAGTATTTTTTCATGCCTGCTACATCCAGTGCTGTAGCTCTAAGAGGTTGCAGCTTCATCAAATTCCTCCCACAGCAGCTATGTTCACTCAGCCTCCAGCAGGGATCCAGACCGACCTGCAGGTACTTTCACACATGAATAAACTTCCACCAGAGGCTGCTGCTTTAATGAACTCTACGTGCAATTCAGACAAATTCTGGTCTACCATCATTTTTATCCACTTAAATACGTTTTAGCCTGTCAAGTGAACAGAAAGAGGAAGCCATTACTTTTGTAAATGTAACAAGAAAAGTGTCAGTTCCATTATTTACACCTGAGCTGGGCAAGGTAGAGAATAATGTACGGTAGAGACCAATTCAGCATAGAATGGACTAAATAACCCACTGAACTCCATTTCATCAGCAATTTACTGACTTTCATTTCATTTTCCTGCATCAATAATTTTGGTTATTAAGGCACAGACCCCTGCCATGCCTCTGGAGGGCCTCAGCACTGCTTTATACAGCAATTTCACTTCCCCAACACTGGAAGAATCCCATTTTCTTAATGTTGAGGATACGTTCCATCTAACTTAAAACATCTGTGCTCAATAGTTTAAATATTGCCAAAAACCCTGCTCCCCAGCTCCATTTTCAACAACTCCCTATAGTCATGTCCTGAGAGGACATGCTTCCCAAAGGAGTTCTAAAGGCCAAGAATATAATTTTCATATAAGTAATTTTCAAAGTCCAAACTTCAATAGGAGTTGGCTAAATCACTGCACAATTATTTGAAAATTCAGTGCTTATCTTTTTTGTTATTTTATGGGGTTATAGAAAAAGTCATAAAACTATACATGGTCCAAAGGAGAAATTTAATCTTGCAGAGTTTCATTTCTGTTAATTGCTAAAGCCAAAAAGAAGTCTGTCAAAGGCTCATAATTCCCCAGCATCTTCTGAGACGTGAACATACATTATCAAATAAGATTACACTTTACATTTGTCCTTTGGAGGGCATTCTATGAATAAGGAGTATGCTCTGGATAACACTGAGGGTCAGACCCACTCTGATGTATATTTCCATATTTGCACTTAGGCTAATGAAAATGCATGAATTGCACCACTTACAGACATTAGTCTTTGTGTTTAAATGTTTGTTGTAAAGGCCTGAACTGACCTAAATCTTTTCAAATGGATCTGCATGGCTTCTCAATAGGTTTCACACATAGCTTACAACGGCTATTTTCTGTGTTCTTCTTGCCTATATATCTTATCTGTTTGATAAAGAAGTAGAGTCACCCAAAAGGAATGGTTGCTGCCCACTCTTTCACAGACCTTACTGGTAGGAACTGTTTCTTATCTGGCTTCTCATTTCCTAGGTCTAGTGATGTAGGTATGTTTAAATAAGGAGTTCTAGAAACCAAACTCATCAGCTGTATGCAAACTAATTAATTTAGGGGTATTATCAGACTGTCACTCCATAAGAATAAAAAGAAAATTGATTTGAAATAACAATGCATAACTAATAACCAGTCACGTCTGATTCATTCAAAAGAACTAATATTGGCTAATAATCAAAAAATATACTAGGTCTATAGCACCTTACTAAACTTTGTACTTAGTCCTTCACTAAAAGTGACTTTTGGCATGGATTCCCTGAAAGCATTCCAGGTCGGTGATTTTACTGACATGGTTTTGGAAACCAGAATTGTAAAGACAGTTGGACTGGAAGAAAGATCCATGGATGTAAAACATGAAATATGAGATAAATTTTTAAAGAATCAACCAGTTTGGGTCAGAGAGATATAAGTACACTTAAAAAAGAAAGTCCAAAATGTATTGGGAGAATAAAACGTAATAAGAGGGGAAATGTCCTCTTTAAAGTTTAGGCCAGTTAAAGAAAAGATGGGGTTGCCTACCAAGAAAGACGGAAAGACCATAGAATAAAGAGCCCCAAAATCTCTCCAGCAAACCTTCAGTCTCAAAGCAGGACCCTGCCTCAAAGTCATTACATGCAGTCATTTAAAAAATGCACAAATGGTGGGGATACACTTCCAAAAGGAAACCACAGAATATACTTTGTCTTATCTCTCATTAATGTCTTTAAACCTCTGAGAAGAAATGCGTTTTTTGAGGTTATTGGAATGTCTAAAGCTGATCTTAAGCAAGTGCCAGGGGGTTGACAGATGCCATTAAATGTGAGAAGAGAAGAATTCCTGTCCCCTGTCTGAAAGGTTGCATGATTCTGAGCTCTTGGTCTGATGTAACAAAATGTGTAAAATTACCCATAAGATTAACTCTCCCCTGTGCAATGGTGACTTCAGAGGGACAGAGATGTATAAAGAAGTTGAACTTCTGCATATCTTCTGGGACCCAGAATAGGCTGCATTGTCACTGGTGCCTTGAAATGAAACTCCAAACCAGTTATTCACAGAATTAGCAGCTCTACTCTCCCTATCATTGTAATTGTGCACTGTACTCAGAAGCATAGAAGACTTCTCCTCGGTATATTATTTTCCAGAATATTTGCCACAAAAAATGGACAGATTGCTATAAGTGCCACTTAATCTAGCAATAAAAACCCTCTAATTCTTACATCTCTCAGAATTTCCAGCATTTTATAGTTTTGACTCTGACTTCCCAGCACATTCTAAGCAGGTCTTTCATCAATCCCACTCTTGGCAATATTTAAAAACCATGTATTTCTAGTGGGGACAACCTTAAAATGCAGAGTGCTTATTTTAAAAGCAGTCTTATATCTATGGGACAGAAGTATCCAGGTTTCTTCATGCATACCTGTTTTTCTAAAACCTCAAAGAGCATCAGAAGAAATAATGCAATTAAAAGCTTCCAGTAATACAGGAAACAATTTTCCACCTCTTCTGAGAATCCAGTTACTAAACTAGGAAGGATAAAACAAAGATTTATAGGATTAAAAGATGAGCATCATGCAAAGAAGGAGTAATCAAGAATATGTGTATTCAGCAGAACCAAGACAAATTTCATACCCTTCATAATCTAGGGAAAATTAATTCAAAATTCAAATTGGATTATGCATAAGTATCTGTGTTGAGGCCAGCCATGCCTCTCTCATCTAGTCCATCTGATTTTTCCTCTCTGGCATTCTATTTATTCATTACATGCACTGGCTGAACCATACTTTGAGAACCTTGATAAATGCCAGCTATTGCTATCCAGTTAGTTGCCTCTGTGTTGGTTAAATGTAAAAATGTGCAAGGCCCAAACCTTTTGGCTGAGCAGCTGAGTGCTTCCTCAGACTGGCTGGGTATCTTTCAGCAGCATAAAAGGGAAACTTTGTCAGTTTGATGTGCATTTCATTGTGAGCACATGCAAATCTGTCCTAGAAACCAACCACAAAATAAATGGATGAGGTAGGGAGTTTTCAATTGGGAGCTTTTTCATTTCTCTTTGGTATAATCTCAGCTGAAGTATGTCCAGGTCCTGAGAGCAGGTATAGGCTTACTAAAGTCAGAAAGAAGGCAGATCTGAGTGAGTGGAAGTGGTGAGTCTGTTTTCAGTAGCAGAACTAGGCATGGACAGCACAAGAGCAACCTGAAGAGACGCATCCATCACCTCAGGGAGCTGCCTAAACCTCACCAACAGCAGCTGAAGCAGGAGTCCACCTGCCTGATCCAACCATACAAGGGGAAAAACATTTAAACAGTTTGTCTGACATGGCTCAAGACAACTGATAAACTCAGCAAGCTAAAAACATCCGATTTTTCTAAATCTGATGTCAGTTGCAGCACACCGTTGTGCAAGAACCTGCTTAACAGGGAGAATAAACTCAGGCCAAAGATGAAGAATTCTTATCTCTGTTTCAAATATTCAGGGATGCAAGTGAAGATTTTAAAGGAACAGTTTTGAAGAATTCTGTATTCTTTTAAATAGTATTTGCAGCAGCCTTTGACAAAATGTCAGCAACAGCAAATATACTTCCTTCTCCACTAGGTTATCTGTATAGAGAGCATACCTGTGTCACTCAGGTTCAGCTTTCCAATCACCAGCAATTTCTGCTTCCTCAGTCTGTAGGAGAATGATTGCAATAGCAGGAGGCAAATGAGACAGAGCAGTCAAAGAAAAAATCAAAATGTGTGAACACAATGTTAAGCATAACAGTTAAACACACACTTTGCTCAAGGTATATGAAGAAACTGCTTTGTGATTTCCTAAAGATCTAATAATCTCTAACTCCACTTTATACTAGATAGTAGAGTGAGAGAACAGCAGTTTTTTTCTGTGATCCTGCCTTCTCTTTGTCAACTGAAACAAGCTGAGATTTAATCCCTCTCTGACTCCTTTTTCTCAGCCAGTGTTTATTGGGTTGAAATTATGGGAAAACCAACACAAATGTGAATTTTATCTCCCTTTCATTGGAAGTGCCAGCAAATTACTCCATCTTAGTGTCCACAGTCCTGAGCCAGTCAGTAGTAAATTTCCCTTTTTGACTGAAATCACTTTTTAGTAGAAATCTCATAACTCCTGAGGAATGAAAGTTGTGAGACAGCTCAGATCTGTGGCGAGTGAAGGTATCTGAGACCTCCTGTGTCGGATCTCAAGATCTCAGTCCTGAGGTACTGAGCCACCGAGACCACCTTGGGGGGCTCGGGACTCCTGGAATGTTGCCAGAAGTGTCTGGTAGCTGGACTTTAACCCTACACAGGAGACGACAAGGATGAGGGCTTCACCGGGGTGAATGGTGAAGGGATTAGCTAATTAGAGGGTGAGACACAGGGTTTAGGATTTATGTACAGGGGGGTTTAGAGGAGTAAGATGGAGGAATTGGGGTGTGTCCTGTCCTCCTTCTTCTTCCTCTTCTCCTCCATCTTCTTTGGCCATGGTGGCACTCTTGGATTGGTTATTACTGAGAGTGCACCGAGTTATAAGAATAAATGGTATTGGGGAAAAATGATAAATATTGTACACGTAACAATGGGTATAAAGATACGTGGCTGCCCGGGAGGGCAGACAGTGTGCTCATGGCTGACTGCTGAGCAGATCTCTGTTCGGCTGAAAGAACATCTTTTAGATAAACAATTAATAAACATAAAAACCGAAAGAAGAACTGAAGCCTCTTCTCGTCCTTCGATACGCGGGCTGCCCCAAGGCCACTCCGGGCCTTTCCAGGCCCCTCAAACAGCCGAGATAAACCGGACACTCCTGTATGGCTGTCACAGGGAATCAGTAATGGTGTATTGATCTAAATCAAGTGCTGCAGGAGAGCTGGGGATGTGTTCCCAGTGGCTGATGCTCTCATTGTAGCAAGTCTTGCTTTCTGGGAAACTAGAGGATATTAGGTGGGTATTTGTATTTGCTAGTTTGGAAATGTCTGGAAAGTAAGATTTACTCCTTACCATGCAGTCAAATGCAGACCAGGTTCATCCCAGGCTCACTTGAAATTAAATTAGGATTTTGGTAACATCAAGTTTCTGTCACAGGCAGTGATTAGAGTGTCGTGTAGAATCAGCCTTTGCAAGTGCATTTCTCTCATTGTGATTAGAAAGGGATGGCTGTATTCCTAAAATGAATATCCCAGAAACCAAAGTTAGACAATGCAAGTCTGTCCTCTGGTTTCACAGCAGCCACAAGTACTTGACTGAATCACTAGCAGCATCTTGATGACAATAATCCTAGCACTGCACTGCCTGACTGGCTCAAGGTTCTGTTTCCAGTTCAAATTCAGGATTTCACACAAATCCTGAGAAACTCTCCTCTAAACTTTCCTGTCACCATCTACAAAGGGACACTGGCCTGTGTATTTTTAATAGAGCCATCCCCACTCATCTGACAGAGTAGGTGTGCTACACATGGAGACAAATAGTGGGTTTAGTCCCCAAAGAAAGACGAATTTATAGAAAGAAAAATGTCAGGGAAGCCTGAGATGGATTTCAGTTCAGGTACAGAAAATAAAGCTCTGTGTGGCACCATCCATCCCTTTAACCAGGGGCATACAGGATAACACTCATATCTTCACTGCCTAATTCCCCTTTCTCCTTCTCTCTTTTAGCAGAAGGGCTGATTCCAGCGTGCAAGCTTTATTCTTCTCAGAAATCCTCATCAGAGATGCTTTCCCTGCTAAACCCAGGGGAAGTCCAGGAGCAATTCAATTTGTGAAATCTAATGGGGTCACCTATCAGCTGCAACCTGATGGGATTGTTTAACAGGGCACTGGGAACTCCTGTGTTTTCCAAAGCATCAAACAGCTCAGATTTTCTAGAGGACAGTGAAATTTGCCCTGGCTCTAGGCCGGATGGGTCAATTTTTGTAAACACAGAGGGTACTCTGTACCACCTCAGCCCATTTTCTGGGGACAGGAGGAGGGGGCCCTTCCAGGTCAGGGGAGCAAGGTGGTAGTTTGTGTCCTGCCAGTTTCCCCATGGTGAGCCTTTTACATGTGAATTGTTTGCCTTACTCATACACCCTTTCATCAATATTTTTGCTGTTACTGTTAATTTCATATTTCATTGTTGTTTTAAGTAATTTTTTCTTAGCTCATGATTTTACCTTTTGTGACTCCAATTCTGCTCTCCAGCCCTCCACAGGGGGAGAGGAAGGGAGCAGGAGGAGTGAGCAAGCACCACATGGTTTGGAGTGTTTCAGTGGAAACACCTATCCTAAACCACAACAAATGCTTACCTTCAAATATTTCACAGATGGTTGATAGGCTCTTCCTTATTAATGAATTCAGACTTCACAACATATTGCCTTGACATAAGGATAACACTTAAAAAGACTCAAAGACAGCAAGTAGCAAAAGAGGTTGTCTGAAATAATTTATATGAGTAATGTTCTTTAATTGAGTTCAAGGTCCTTTGAGTCTGATAAATACAAAATCCATGCATAAGACTACAAACATTTTTAAAATATCTACTGAAGCAATACTGTCAATCTGATACAAATATAAATGTGAAAAATAAATAATATCAGATTTAGGACCTTGGTTCTGTTCCTTTCTGACATCCACATTCAGTTATGCTGTGGTTTATCTTTAGGAATTTAAAACCAAAAATTGAGAACTTTTCTAAGAACAGAGTAGAATTTAGGATTCTAGCTATACTTATGACTTTCACCATTTTCAGCAGCATAAACCAATCCTCATGTTTTCTTCATTGTAGTGTTCAGGTTCTAACACAGTGGCTTTTTTCAAAGCTTCCCTCTCGTTACAGAAATTATGGCCATCTGTCAGCTTCAGCTCAGAGGATGGATCACTGTCCACAAGAATGATGAGGAACAATGGCCAGCACATGGTTGTTAATAACTATCTAAGAGGGAGAGAAACCTTCTTTTAACATTTGTAAAGAAACATCCAGAAAGAGGCATCTCTGAAATGTCCAATATAACAAATTGAAATGGAGCCTTAAAATGCACTGGGTAAATGCTGCTGATACAGACATTTTAAGGGAGGAAAGTTGTTAACAATAGGGAGAGGATTTTAGAGAAAATGGATGGACTTTGCTCACTGGACAGCACAAGGTCTAATGATAAGAGATCCAAAGTTCTTGTAGTTGTGGCATGAAAAGACAGAACACAATGATCTTGATTTGTTCAGTTCATTTCTTTTTGCACCAGTCAGAACAGGTAGTTGTACCTGTAGAAATTAGGGACAGAACCCTCCAGCACCTTCAGCCATTACTGTGAGCAAAGAAAGGGTTTATTCTTCCCAGTGAATTCTTGGAAAAACTTTCAGAGTCAAAACCAGATCAAAAGTACCTGTAAATCATCTCTCTTATCCTCACATTAACCTGGTAGCATTGAAGACAGGAGAACTATGGTCTCCACCTGTTCCCCAAGCTACCCAGGGAGAGACTGTGCTGTCAGAGCAGCATGCTAACTAAAAACAAGCGACTAAAAAGAAGAATTTGCTCAAGAATTTTCCTAGACTGTTAAAACCAGTGGGAAATGCTTCTTCAGTGAAATACTCTAACAAGGAAAGGCACTTATGCAAAAGCATCAGAATTTTCTAGGGGAAATGTCATTTTATGCTAGGAAAAAGACATGCAATTTTCTGTCAGGAGAATAAAAATGTTCGTTTTGTGATTGCCCACCTGGAGGGACTCTATCCATTAAACTCACTACTCACTAGAAGAAAGCAAATAGGTAAAAGCAACCCCTCATGAAGCTGCTACCTTCTGCAAACATTGCTGTCTCCCACACATATATTGATTAAAGCCTGAGGTTTTCTTCCATATTTTCCTACTTTTCAAACAGTTGTTTTTTTTTTTTTTTTGCATCCTCATTATTTTTGTTTCAAATTAAAGTTTTCTAGATAAACAGGTTTTTGTAAAATCTTAAAATCCATGCTGAGTCAGTACAGCAATATCTTGCAGAACAGCTTTAGGAAAGGATCTGCTATTACAGAAAGCATGGTAAATTAGTTTATACTGAATGCCTTCCAGGGTCTGTTCAAAAGCCTCTGGTTACTGGGTAATTCACAGATGACATTATTTCCACCCAGATGGATTTTTACCAATGTGAAAGGTTAATTTTCATATAAATTACTCAGGAAATGGAATGTCACCCCTAGAGCTAAGGAAGAGGTAAGTAAAAGAAAATGCAGATGAATGGAATCACCCCAGAGAAAATAAAGGGCAGAACTGAAGTAGGATGGTTTAGTTCATAAAAATGCTGTACAGACCACAAGACTTATCTCTCCCTTGCAGAATTTCTCTTCTACACCAATATCAAGGTCCAGATTTCAGTCCCCATAATTTACCTGTTTCCAAGAGGAAAGCTCAATTTCCTGAGTATATTTTGATTCCTCTGTACATGTTTGTGAATGGGTTGCTACATAACTTATGAAAGTGTGGTAGAATGTAGCACATTTTCTGCTCCTTCTACAGCAAAATGATGACATGATTGTTATAATGAAAACCATCATGTCCAGGACCTTAAATACTTAGCTTTTGAAGTGCAATTCAAAGAGGAGGAAAGTAGGTTGTGATATTTATCTTTTTCAACTTGGTACATCCAGGACAGAAATGTAACCCAGCACAGTCTGCAGAAAATGCCATTCCTTCCTTTAAGAGGGAAAATCTTTACTTTCAAAATCTTAAAAACTTAGTGCTTTGAATGTAGAAAGACATAATTATAATGAGAGCCCCAGACACCAGAGTATTTGCAATCAAAGCTACCTCTGAAGAAAGAATTGAGATAAATGGCAAAGTGAGAGCAGCGCGAGGCAGGAGGAAGAACTGGGAGTAAGGGAATTGAGAAGCAGTGAATAGCAAACATCTGCAAGAAAACTGCTGATTTGTGGCTGAGCAACTTCTCATACTGAGCCAGATGGTTCATTAGCAAAAAAGCATGGGTAGATGCCAAAGAGCTTTAACTCTGCAGTGACCAGTACCTGTACCTATTGCTCCCAGGAGCATTACAGAGATGTGCCGTACAGTTTTGTTAATATTAAAGCTGGAAATATTGAATCATGGGCGTCCACTGCAAACTCTAATCTGTAAATAGCCCCCCAAACATGCATGGAGTCTAGGAGATAAGGCATCAGATTATTTTTAAATGTATAATAGAGTGTTACTTTGTAGCACCATGTTATTGCCCTTTGCTGTTACTCACAATTTTATGACCTCTTCTCACCATACAGTCAGTTTTAAGGAAAATGTGATGATTGCCTAATGTCCAATTTGTTCCATTTTCATTTCTCAAGGCACCAGACATTCTCTTTCCATCTACACTTTTACCTTTCTATCAAACACTAATATCAGCTATGACAAATGATTGGTTACTCATGTGCTCCAGGCAAATACTTTTTTATCTTTGTAAATATAACACACACTGAGGCCAAATTTTCAGTTTCTCTTTCCTGTCATCTTAGTCACGACTGTGGGTGAATGAGTTTGTTTGAAAACCAGGCCCACCCAGGTTCATACAAATTCTCTGCGACAATATTTAGGCATCTGCTTTAGAACAAACAGAATGGACAGAGAGATTGTTACCGTCTTTCGCCTCAAAAACATCAACACTGTAGATTGCCCATTAAAGGAGGCTCTGAGAACACCTGGGTTTGCATCTCTGGGGCCATCTCTGTGGAAATCAGGTGATACTTCACGCCACTCTCACCAAATCTGTAAAATAAATCTGTATTTATACCTTCCCAAGGCCACCTTGCAATGAAAAGGAAAAAAGCTGTGGAGTGAAGGACAACAGCACTAATTTATAATTACAATCCTTTACCCAGGATGATGGGGTACATAAGCATCCATCAAAGACAAGTAAGTGCTTAGTATATACTGAGTCAGGCTTGTAATTTCCCAACCAGCTGGCAAGGACACCCTTTCAATGGCTGAATGTGCTTTCTCCCATGCTGATAGCTTTGGGCTTAAAGCTAATATTATATTTTAAAGTATACTTAGCATTCTATCAACATAATGCAGTCCCTTCACCTTGCTGGAGACATCTGTCCAGAGTATATATAGCTTTGAAAATCTGGTACCATCAGCAGGGATGATGTTTTCTCTTTATTCTGGAAGTGGTAATACCACTTCCAAGAACCTATACACAAACCATCCAATATAGCTAGCCAAGCAAAAAAAAAAGAAAAAAAAAATAAGTCTCTCTTCTTTCTCCACTTGAAATAAAGTCTCCATTGCCTCTGGACATTATTCCATCATGTATTTTCCTAGAAACCCAAGAGACAAAACTCACTTATATTCTGCATGCACTACTCAGGGATTGATCTCAATCTTTCATCCTAACCAAATTCTAAAATCAGAAAAAACATCCTGACCACATCTACTTGGTCTTCCCATTGTCCACAGAAAATCAGAGTGTCATTTGTCCTCATACACTCCTGATGGGGCCAAAGAAACTGAGTGCTGAAAAACAACTATAGCCACAGACCGGCTGGCGTTATTCAAGTTCAGGTGTTGAAAGGCTAAATTTCCTGCTGCTTTCACCCTTCTGGTCAGAGGGACACACTAAGGTCCCCTGATTAAAAAGTGCGAATAGAGACATGGAAAATTAGAAGATTTAATACTTCATCAAACATGTCTTAGAATTGGATTTATATTTACCTGCCAGAAAGCTATCTGGGTTAAGACACCACTACCTGTCTTCCCCTCAGGATATGGGATTCCTTCATCATTTCCTATTTTTACATCTCACTCCACTCTCGTTTTTCACTAGCTGCTTCTCTGGGATTTGACCTTAATTCAAGGAAATTTGGGGGATTTTTATGGAAGTATCTAGATGTGAGGATAGATATCTGTGCTTCATCCTTGAGAGAATACACCCTTAACTTCTGCACCACATAATCTAAAAGTTTACAGTGTTGTGCTGTCCTTTGATTTCCTATTTGCACTTCCTCTGATAGCTTGTGTGATTAGGCTCAGCTTCGGTTTAGAGAAAAGCCTTGCTTTTCTTCCCACTCAATGCAAAAGAATTTCTAGCATCTGTACTGTAATTCTGTTCCCTGCCTCTGTCTATACCCCCAACAAGTTTCCCTTCTTCCTTCTCACCCCAGTCCTACACTGGAAAAGACTGTGGTGTCTTGACCCTGGCTGGATGCCAGACACCCACCAGAGATACTCCACTCTGTCACTCTCCTCCACAAAGGGACAGGGGAGAGGAAACATAACCAAAGGTTCATTAATTGAGATAAAGGCAGGGAGGGATCCCCCACCAATTACTGTCATGGGAATTACAGACTTGACTTGCAGAAATCAGTGGAAATTATAAACAACCAAAATCAGAGCAAGATAATGAAAAGTAAAATAAAATCTTTAAAATACCTTCTCTCTCACTCCTTCCTCCTTCCTGTGCCTTGTAGGAGGCAGAGGGAGATAGGGATGGGAGTTATGGTCAGTTCATCATACACTGTTTCTCAGGGAGTGGAATCCTTCCCCAGCTCCAGCATGAGGTCCTTCCCACAGGAGATAGCTCTCCATGAACTCCTCCACAGTCCTTGCTATGGGTTACAGTTCTTCACACTCTGTTCCCAAGGGACCCCCCTTCCATGGGATGCAATTCTTCAAAAACAGGCTTCTCCAGGGTGAGTCCCCCATGGGGTTGCAAGTGCTGCTAGAAAACCTGGTCCAGCCTGGGCTCCTGTCTCCACAAGCCTGCAGGTCCATCCCAGGAGCCTATTTCAGCATGTGCTTCCTCCCATGTGTGGGCCACAGCCTTCTGTCCATGGCCCAGGATCTCCTCCTTTGCAGGTGGATCTCTTTATCCCCACTGACCTGCAGGGCTGCAGGGACACAGCTGCTTCACCGTGGCCTGCACCACAGCCTGCAGGGGAATCCCAGCTAAGGTGCCTGGAGCACCCCCTCCCACTCCCTCTCCACTGACCTTGGCTTCTGCAGAGCTGTTCCTCTCACATTCACAATATTGTAAATCCTCTCTTCTCTGAGCACAATTATGGCTGCACAATAATTTATTTGTTTTTTCCTTCCTAAATGTGTTATCACAGAGGCATTACTATGATTCCCATCTGGCTTGGCCATGGTCAGTGGTGTCTTGGAGCTGGCTGGCAGTGGCTTAGCCAGATATGGGGATGCTTCTGGCAGCTTCTCACAGAAGCCTCAGCCCTGTATCCCCCTTGCTACCAAAACCTGGCCACACAAGCCTAATGCAAACCCAAATATTCTTATTGGCTACATATGTTAAACCTTGCTGTTGCCTCCTCTACAAGGAGTAGGGTGTCTGCGGGGGTGCGTACGTGGCCCAATGTTCGAAGTCCGGCTAGCTGAGGGCAAATGGCCGACGCCCCTCTGCAATTACTAGCCAGCACCCCTCGGTGTCTGATGGCCTCGGGCTGCGCTGGCTGCGGACTGGCTCACACCGCTGGTATTGGCGAGGAACGAAGCTGATCACTTCGCCGGGGGTTAACGTTGGTTTATTGAAGGTGTAGCGGGATCCAAAGGGGGGAAACCAACCGGGAAAGTGGCCCCGAATAGGGGGTGAAAGAGGATTATAAAGGAGGGGAGTGGGTACAGGTGGAACCAATCGGGAAAGGTGAGGGGATGAAGTTCACAGAACTGACACTCCATGGAAACCAATAATCAAAAGGTAAGGGAGGTGTCCCGGGACCCCAGCCAACCAACACCTCCAGAGAAACGAAAAGTTCTGGAAAACCAGGAGGAGTGGGGGGCTGATTGACTGAGCCCAGGGAGGAGAAAAGATTTACTAAAAAGGGAAAAAGGGGTAGGAGAAATTATGTAACTGGGGTGACAGACACAGGGGTAACCATGGTAACCTAACGGACATCAGGGCTGTGGCAGGAAAAACTGGGGGGACAAAACCATTTTACACATAATAGGGGGAAACAATACATAAATTGGGGGAATAACACAAGAAACTTAACAACGCACTACAACAGGTGTCAATAAATGAGACAATGGTTGTGGTTTAGTTAAGAAGTGATCTATTACATCCTCTGATATACGTCTGAAACATTCTACCCTCTCACCACTTATGCATGATACGTTGGCATCCTTGGCACATAAAGAGTTGGATGTTCTTTAAAAGTAGTAGACACCTCTTTTCTTAGGCATGATACAGTTAGTGCATCAATCAGTAAACATTTCTTTGTGCAATCAAACTGAGAAAAGAGCTTAGTTTCGCTGTTATATTTTGGGATAGCACACAGCATAATTTATTAGGATTTGCACTCCTGGTCATGTATATGACAAGTGATTTGCAGCTCTGAACCCTCAATATACACCTAAAGATAATCACCAGTAACTGTCTTGTTATTGTTCCCTTGCATGTCAAGGATGTTTATTCATGGGCCTCTGGCTGTCTTCCCATCACTTTGGCCCTGCTCTCAAGTCACTAGATCTGAGTCTATGTCCTCACCTCTATTTCCCACTGTCATTATAGAATAACCATTTGTATTGCCACCCATCATCATTGAACTTTGATCAAAACTAAAGCCACTGTCTAGAGCAGTCACTGATTTAATGTGCTGGAGACAAAAAGCCATCACATTGCTACAGAAGAGCAGCTCTCTAGGACCCTGTTTTTGTGCCATGCTTCATGACTTTGGTATTTCAAACACATCTGTAGAACTTTGGCTCTTTGGCCCTCCAGTCCTCATCTATGCTTTCATCATTTCAACATACTTTCCATTAGCTTCATGCCACAAAAAAAATCTGTTTCACAGTTTCTCACTTTTACTTCACTGCAGTCAAAAGCTGAAGTTGCTAATCCTCTCCTGCTCCTTGCTCTTACATCAAGGAGCAGAGCAAAGACAGTCATTCCATGTTAAAATGCCATTAATACTTGTGTGATGTTTTTCATTCCATCATTTTTAGAAATACAGACACCTGATGCAGCACTGGAACTGGTCACAGTAGAAGCAACTTAAGTGCTGAGATGCCAGGGAGACTGATGCAACCCTCCAATCATACATTTAGGTTCAAATTGCATCTTTAACCTCTGTCTCTGTCATAGGGAGAAGGAAAGAAAGAAGAAGGACAAAATTCATTCATGCATTTCAAAACGTAATTTTTTTGGGAACATTTAACATGCAATTAAAAATGCAATGCAATGAAAAAATGCAGAGATAGTTTTAGAGACAAGATTTATATCTGCCTAATCAATATTATTATAGTGGTTTCGTATCTAAAGCACAATTATTTCCTCTGTTTTAACCAGTAAATCAGATGGAAATTAATCTATTTACAACCAGTGTGCAAAATATTTCATCATTCTACAAAATTAATTACAAGTCCACATATCACAGCAAAGATAAATTCAATTGATTGAGAAACCAACCATGACACAAGAAGACTGAGTAATGAGTGCATGAGTATGCCGAATTAGGCAAGCTTTGATCTATAGTATCTTTGTCAATAGTACCCTCAGAATTTAGAGTTGAGATCCTGCTGGCACATATGTCTGGGTACCCAATTTGGTTGTGTATAGTAGCCCACAAATATTTTCAGCAAAGTGTCTTTCACACAGACCTATAGTGCCCTTCAACTGCACAGCACAGAAACAAAGCTACTCATAAAAGGAAATTTAACCCTGTATAAAATTTATGATATACTGTATAGAAAGACTCTAACTGCAAATCTTCTCAGTCCCTGAGACCATACATTCACTGTACACAACACAAAGAACCTAGAGAAAAATGTCCATCATGTCCAGACAGGCGTAAATTTTGGCCTTGCAATTATTAGCTGAATATAAGATTTAAATATAAAGACCCCGTTGTGTTGTATTTCCTTTTGCTAAGAAGTCATTTTTGAGTATCTAAGACAAACTTTTCAAAACTTTTCCAGGTGCTTTTTTGATGTATTTGATGACCAAACCCACTAGCCCTAACATGTTGATGGTTATGCTCTACAAAAGACCAATCCACTCCTGGAAGTGAGTGAGGGATTTTGCACACTGCTTGTAAATAGATTCATTTTTATCTGATTTACTGGTTAAAATAGAGGAAATAGTCCATTCAAGGCCAGGCTGGATTGGGCTTCTGAGCAATCTGGTCTGGTGTAAGGTTGGAACATGCTGGGGCGGACATCTTCAGTTTCCTTCCAACCACAACCATTCTAAGGTTCCATGAATGTCTGCGGACACTTCCAGCACAAATTCATTGGATCTTTTTGTATCAGCAGTCTCCATCTGCAATAACATTTTTTCTGGTAGCAGCAGAAGTTACACAGGTATTGAGACACCATTAAACTTTGCCAAGGATCAGTTCAAAGGCAAAAATAATTCTCCTTAAATAATCTCTGAGTATAAAGCCAAAGCCTCTAAAACTGGACCCCAGAAGGGATTCCACAGATGGAATAAGTGCATAACTTTCTCTTTAAATCTGATGAAAACTGTAAGCAAATCCCATCACTTCTCAGTTTCGCAGACAGGCAGATTCAGCCAATCCACCTGAAAATATCACAAGATGCTAAGAGTAGCTGGACAACTCTCACTGGTACCAAAAACCTGAGTTTCTAAAAGGTTTTTTCAGTGAACAAAAGGAGATTTGTCCTTTAGTCTGACCAAACCAATAAGACTGACAACACCCCTACCAGCATAGACACTATAACTCACTTTAGAGTGAAGACTACAGGCAGATTTAATATTCTCATGGAATACGTGCTGTTTTGACCTGTCTTGTTGTGCTAAAGGTTCATGATGAAGAAATAGAGTCTTTAGCATTACTAAACATTGGAGCAATACAGGTGGGTCAGGAAATCACTGTCCACTTCTATTCAAATTCATTCTCTTCCTTCAAGACTCTTAGTGGGAATGTCAGTCACATCACCAGCTTCAAAGGACACCACTCTATATTGTTCAACAAGTTGGGTTTTTCAGAAGACATATTTCCTCTTTTGTAACGGCCTGCAGCATTGTGTGAAGCCAAAATGGCAGATGGTCTCACAGCTATATTGTTGTTACATTCCCAAACTCACAGAACCAGGTTTTTTTTAACCAAGATGTTTATATTCTTTGCTCATAATAGCTATCTTGGGCTAGCTTTGCCTTACTATTCACATTTCCCTGATTCTTACACTGCCAGAGTGAGAGTCTGAGTGTGGCTGTCAGTGAGCTGCCTTCATGACTCATATTTTTGCACCTGCACACAGGACAGCATGAAGTCAGTCCCACATGGTGCATGGCAAAACCAAAATTTTGTCTTGCTCAATTTCACATGCATTTGGAAAAATTGTTCTCATTAAAATGTATTTCCTAGTTAAAATGTATTTTCCTAGTTTAGGAAGTAAAAATGCTTAATTGTCAAGTCCTAATATTTTAAAACTTTCTGTGATATAAATGTTGCTCTTGCAAAAATTTGTCAAGACATTTGGAATGATTTCATGTATCAGAAAACAGCTAGAGGTAAGAGGTAAAATATCTCCTAATTATTTATAGTTTAAGCAAAAACATTAAGAATGCATTCTTTTTAAAAGAAGTAAAAATGCCTCTGTGCTTGAGACAAAAATAAAAGGCACATCAGTGATCCCACCTTCTTGTCCAGATCGTAGTGATTCTTCCAAATGCTGCTTTAGTCAGGTTGTTTGTGCAGTGTGACAGGGACTCACTCCCTGCAGGGGCATTGGCAACCCTCGGCAGTCACCTGTTCTGTGTGAAGGGTGATGACAGCTAAATGTTGGTATCTGTGAAGGCTGGCAAGAGCTACAAAAGCCTAACCAGCAGGCAGTGTTGACTGACTTCCAAATTCTACCTCTCCCCAGGGACTGCAAAATATGGGAATTGCTATGAGGAGGTGAATCCTTCCATTCAAGGTTCTCAAACCTACATCATCTTCAGGTAGTTTTTCTCCAAGATCAAGGGAAAAATCATCATTTATGGATTTAAAGTTAAATATCCATTATATGAAATGCAAAAGTCATCAAAGAAGCTAGCACTGAAATTCCAGTCTGCTTTTTACCAGCCAAGTGTCCTAATTATGGTCAAAGGATCTGATTTATTCTGGAAACTCAGAAACAGTCCAGTGATTTTATGAGAACCACCAAGAAATTTGGATGTAGGTGCTGAATTTATGAACCATATTCTGATTATTTGAGGAAAATAAGAAATAATAAGA